TACTCTTATACAGTTGAAGTCAATATGAGTAAATCATAGATTTCTAGAGCAGAAATGTGCTGAACATTTATAAGGACTAACCTCTGGAATCCACCACTCATCTGTCAGTTTGTCAAACTGTTGTAGCTATGCCACAGGTATTTTAAATACTAGCAAGGTCACCCATGGTGGATAGGTTTCAGATGTGTTTCCAGACTAATAAGAAAGAGAGATAGACTATTTCTGAGTACTTAGTCCCTGAAAACCTTATGAATAGCAGGGGGACACTGTCAGCACCAGAATATTGAATACTGAAATATAATGAAGAGCACCTGAATATTGCCAGATATAGTGCCAGAAGTTGAGCCCTTCAGGTTGGAAGGCACTCAAAATAAGACTGAGGAACAGCTACCTCCTCAAGGTAGACTTGACTGTGATGGTGTGAATGCAGTAAACCCCTTGGGACATTCATTTGCTGATGGGGCAGAACTCAAACTGAAGAGAAACACTGTAAGCACCCATTAAAAATCGGAACATGGAATATAAGAAGTATGAATCTAGGAGAATTGGAAATTGTGAAAAATGAAATGGACTGCATGAACTTTGTTATCTTAGGCATTGTTATTGTTAAGTGCTGCTGAGTTGTTTCCAACTCATAGTGACACTGTATAGAGTTTCTAAGGAGTGGATGGTGAGTTTGAACTACCGACCTTGCAGTTCAAACTGAACTTGCCGTCCAACACATTAACCCAGAGCATCTTAATTGGACTTCCAAGACATTTGTTGTTGGGAACATATATAGCAAAAGTGTGTAGGAAAATTGCATCACAGCATCACTGTGAGTCAGTACCGACTTGATAGCACCTAACAACCACAAGCACATCTGTCAAGGAGGCTTGCATGCTGCTTTATACTCAACATGTTATGTAGAGTTTCCAGACTAAAACAGGCTAGGAAGAAAATGCTGACAATCCCCTTCCCAAAGATTGACGACTAAAACCCCATGGATCACAATGGTCCCCCACTTTGTGTATCAAGTGGCCATGATTCAGGCATAATTTGATGGCAGCTAACATCAGTTATGTTTTATTTGACTTATATATGACAAGGTTCTTTAGCAAATTAGTGAAAGCAATTTTCCCATAAAGAAAGTATTGTTTTATTTTGTTCAAGTTTCTGTTTCATATACGTATTTTTTTCCAACTGCCAGTATTAAAAGTAATGCAAACAATACAAAAATATTTGACAGGCAAAATTAGGTTTAATTTTTCTCTTTAAACCAAAAATCTTGTATATTGTACCTGTTTTTCCAGCTAACTGTCAGGGTAAACAGGTATAAATAATTGCATACATTAACATATCCATGAGGAAAAAGGAAATTTGTTTCAAAAAAAATTATGGTATAAAAAATAATTTTAAAAAGTATGCATACACATTTAGTATTTGTTTATAATAGATGCGTGAGCACGTGGATTAAAAACTAAACAGGAGAGTGCAAAAATAACTAAAGTACAATCTGTAGAGCAAACTGTCAGTGTAGTAATGGTGATAATTTTAGAAATGAATTAATGCACATTCAAATTTTAAAAAGAAAAAATCTTTGTAATAAGAAAAAAAAGCATTTGTAATGGAATATTGTTTATCTTAAGATTATGTGTATTTCCTTCTCTCTGTAGCTATTATTTTGTATATGTGAATTTCCAAAGATTGAAACTCTTAAAGGAAGGGTTTTGACCTAAAATATTCCTTATACTCTGCCTCCAAAATGGAATCAGAAGTCAATTTCATGTCCTTAGAATCAAACTTTTCTAGTAGAACTTGGAAGAACTTGATGTTAGCTATTAACTATAGTGTGAAAATTGATGTTAAATGAAGGATGCTGGAAGATGTCATATGACTAGACTGAGATAAAATAAGAGGGCAAAAAATCAGCAAATGATTTGTATGGGACCAAATGCATCTGACCTGTGAAAACAGAAAAGGAAAATATCAGAAATGAAAATAATAGTGTTTTTTATAAAGAAGACTGAATTAGAAAGTTACACTGTATTGCTCTATGACCAAAAAAAAAAAAAAAAAAATGTGTTGGGGTAAGGTTTTGGCAATTGCACAAAATAGATATAATTATATTTTAAAAGCTCAGAAAAATCTTTTGTGGTATCAGGTATTTTTTATGTTTTTATTTTTAGTCTGTTCTGTCACATTTCTTTCAAGGTGCAATTGAAGCAGCCAATACTCAAATCATTTCACTATTTCTAGTATTATTTGTTGTTGGTAGTAGGTTTCTTTGAGTTGGTCCTGATTCACAGCAACCCTATGTACAACAGAATTAAACACTGCCCATTCCAGCACCAAACTCACAAAAGCTCTTAAGTTTGAGCCAATTGATGCTTCCACTGTGCTAATCCATCTCAGTAGATTTCTTCCTTTTTTCATTGACCCTCCACTTTAGCATGCATGATGTCCTTCTTCAGGTACTGGTTCCTCCTGAGAGGTCTAAAGTATGGAAGACAAAGTCTGACCATCTTGGTTTCTAAGGAGCATACTGGCTGAATTTCTTCCAACACAAACTGGTTTGTTCTTTTGGCCACCCCTGGTACTTTTAATATTCTCCTCTAACACCGTAACTCAAATACACCAATTCTTCTACAGTCTTCTTTATTCACTGTTCAACTTTTGAATGCATATGAGGCTGTTAGAAACACCAAGGCATAAGGTCAGGACCATCTTAGTCCTCTGACAGACATCTTTACTCTTGAACACTTTAAAGAGGCTTATACAGCAGATCTGCCTAATGCAATATATTGTTTGATTTATTGACTGCTGATCAATCATCAGTCCATGAGTATTGATGGCTGATCTAAACAAAATGAAGCCTTTGACATCTTCAATATTTTCTCCATTTTCTTTGATGTTATTTATTGGCCCAGTAGTGAGGATTTCTCTGTTATTTATATTGAAGTGTAACCCATACCAAAGACTGTGGACTAGTATTATAGTATGTGATGTCCAGAAAAGTTAGTATTTTAAATAGTTTATTAACTATTTAGGAGCTCTGGGAGTGTAGTGGTTACAAGGCGGGATGCTAACCTTAAGGTTAGCAGTTCAAAACTGTCAGATGTTCCACAGGAGAAAGCAGAGACTTTTTGATCTCAAAGATTTACAGCCTCAGAACTCTATGCAGAGTTCCTATGAGTTGGAACTGACTCCACGGCACACCGCCACCACCATTTACTACTTATTTATTTACTTTATTCCCAGATTTTGAAAACACCACTTGACATGAAGATTAAGCTGGAAAGAACACTGAGTATGGATAATATGCAAGATTGCAAAAGGATGTAGATAGAGGTATAGAAAATTATTCATGTAGAAATCATTATGTTATCTGTTTAAGACATAAAAAAAAGGTAGAAAAAAAATTCCAACAGAAAAATGATTTCCTGAATACTAAACTCAAAGTGGGACTTATACATTTTTAGTTGCCATTTGTCCCTAATAGCTAATGAACAACTACTGACTTTTCTGCTCACACACATAAATGTTCTTTCTGTCTCTTTTGTGTGATGAGACTTTTGAGTCTGAAAAATAGGCAGAACTAGTCCAGCTTGGTGAGATTTAGAATGAGGAGCATCTAGATATAGCTGTAATCATTTTTTTTTTTGGTCATACAGAGTATTCTAATCTCAATAATGATAAACTATTAGTTTATTTTAGTTGTTTTCTTTCTGTTTTGTAGTTGCTATTCAATATCACCAAGTCAGTACCAATTCATAGTGACCCTGTATAGGGTTTCCGGGAAGCAGCTGTTGGGTTTGAACCGATGACCTTGCTGTTAGCAGTCCAGTGTTAATCCTAAAGCACCACATCAAGACAATGTATTTAACATACTATGTTATTACTTACTAATGATTTTCAAGTAAATTTAAAATAAAACCTCCTCTTTATTTTTTTTTCTTTTACATTGTTTTTGTTGTTATGTGCTGTAGAGCTGATTCCAACTCAGTGACCCTGTGTATGGTTTCTGAGGTTCTAAATCTTTACAGGAGCAGAAAGTTTCATTTCTCTCCTTCAGAGCAGGTTTTGGGCTCGAAAGGCCAACGTTATGGTTTGAAGACCAGTGCTTATCCTATAAAGCCACTGTGTTCCATATTTTATGGCTACATGAGGCTATAATTGTTGATGAAGCAGCTATATAAATACATGTTTTAAATGACCCATGTTTGTTGCTTTGCTTTAACCCATCCTTTACCCAGGCTAGGGTGTCCATTAATATTCCAACATGTTTACTCAGGCTTCCCAATTTTCACAAAAGAAACATATTATTCTATTGTGGTCCCATGAATAAAATATTTGGGACTGTCAAATTCTTGCCTAATTTTAAGTCATAATCTTCTGATGAAGTTTAACATTAAAATTATACCACCAAATTGTTGAGCAAAATGCAATGCAGAATTTAAGCCAATCAGTGGTTTTAGATCTATTCATCAGTCTTTATTCTTTCTCCCTATCTTTATTGTTTTCCCCTCCTGGCTGTACCTTTCTCTAACATTAGTGTTTTACTTATTATTAAAAATAATTCCTTTAGATGATTACACATAAAACTATATCATATCTAGTTTATGAATAACTAAACAGGTCAATGCATTAATTATTTTATTTTGATGCTTATTATGTGTATTAATTAAAGCCCACCCAGTAACACCATGGCAGAAATCCCTGGTGATCTGCTTCCATAAGGATTACAGCCTAGGTACGGTTCTATTGTGTCACATGGGATACCTATAAGTCAAAAATTCAATACATGTCATCAATGCACAATAACATGGGTACTAACCTACATGTAATTATCTGAGATTATTATATCCCTGCACTAATCCACTCAAAGAATGTAATACCACTCCTTTTGCCATGACATTATGTAAGTATTTTGGCACAGCAATTAGTGTTATATAAGTATCTCCAACAATGTAAATACTTCTCCCATTGAGTTTTCATATTTCTCATATAGAAATCCTTACCTTGCCGACATATTGAGTGTCTGTACCTGTGTACTCTTCCAACAAGAAGAACTGATTCCACATCCAGCCACGTTTGCTGCGACGTAATATTTTACCATTCTCTTTTGTCAAATCCAATGTCTTTTTGCTTGGTAAATAATTGTTACCTTTTTCTTGTAATGGAATGGCATCAACTGCATGGAACATATATGTCCAAAGAAATAATGGCAAAAAATAAGTCCACATTATCTGTGACTTCAATAAGATGCCAAATTCAATGTATTTTTTCTTCTCCTGAGGAGTAGAAAGAGACAAAATACTTTTATAAGGTTGTGTTTCTATATCATGTAAACTTTAAGTTACAAAATTTACTCTAGTTTGTTTTTTTTTTTTAAAGATTATAAATACATGCAGATATTTTTGGATGTGGCATACACTGAACTATCATTAATAAGTTTGTTGTTGCTGATAAGTGCCATTGAGTTGGTTCCAAGTACTAGTGACCATGTATGTGGTTTCTAAAGAGCAAATGGTGGGTTTGAACTCTCAACTGAGGTTAATAGGCTATTGTTTATCCTGCAGTGTCACACCAGGACTCCACATACACATAAGTAAGTTATTTTTATTAAGTACCATGGAGTCAATTATGAATCATAGAGACCCAGTTTCTGAAAAGCCACTGGTGGGATTGAACCACTGACAATGTAGTTCAAACTGACCTTGTGGTTTTATTCTTATCCTTCAATGCCACACCAGGACTGGCATAAGTAAGCTGTTGTATTGTTGTTAAGTAAGATCAAGTTGGGTCAGACTCATAGTGAACCTATATATGGTTTCCAAGGTGTGGTTATTGACATTGAACTGTTGACCTTGTGATTCAAAATGACATTGTGATTCAGTGCTTATTGTACAGCATCAGTTCAAGTAGGTATAAGGGGGGATTTAGCAATGGACTTTGTTGTTGTTTTTAAGTAACATGGAGACATTTCTGACTCATACAGAGTTTCCAAAGAGCAACTGGTGGATTTGAACAGTTGAACTTTTGATCAGCAGTCCAGTACTTACCCTATACCACCACACCAGGACTCTAAAACATTTTATTTTATAATTAATTGAGCAAACATGGAATCAAGATGTATTGATCATTACTGGTGATTAGACTGCAAAGGTTGGGAGCAAAGAGGAAGGGTCAGTAGTCGGAAAATATGGCCTTGGGATAAAAAAAGATGCTGGAGAATGCATGATAGAATTCTCAAAAATCAATGATTTGTTCATTTCAAATACCTCCTTTAGACAGCATAAGAGATGATTACACACATGGACCTCACCAGATGGAATAGATAGAAATCAAATTGACTACATCTGAGGAAAGAGACTATGGAAAAGCTCCATATCATCAGTCAAAACAAGGCCAGGGGCAGACTGTGGAACAGACCATCAATTACTCATATGCAAATTCAAACTGAAGCTGAAGAAAATGAAAACAAGTCCATGAGAGCCAAAATAGGAGCTTGACTATAATCGCACCTGAATTTAGGGATCATCTGAAGAATAGATTTGTACATTAAACACTAAAGACCAAAGACTAAAAGATTTGTGGGATGACATCAAGAATATCATACATGAAGAAAGCAAAAAGTCATTAAGAAGACAAGAAAGAAGGAAAAGGTCAAAATGAATGTCACAAGAGACACTGAAATATGCTCTCCAGCATAGAGATGCTAAAGCAAGTGGAAGAAATGAGGAGGTCCAAGAGCTGAACAGAAAATTTCAAAGATCAGCTCAAGAAGATAAAGTCAAATATTACAACAAAATGTGCAAAGATCTGGAATCAGAAAACCAAAAAGAACATGTTTAGCATTTCTCAAGCTGGGGGAACTGAAGAAAAAAATTCATGTCTCGACTTTCATTATTGAAAGATTCTCAGGACAAATTATTGAATGATGCAGAAAGCATCAAGAGAAGATAGAAGGAATGCACAGTCACTGTACCAAAAGGAAATGGTTAATGTTGAACCATTTCAAGAGGCAGCATATGATCAAGAACCAATGATACTGAAGGAGGAAGTCCAAGGTGCATTGAAGGAATTGGCAAAGAACAAGGCACCAGGAATTGATGGAATTAAAATGGAAATCTTTCAAGAAAGTGAGGTGGCACAGGAGTCTCTCACTCATCTCTTCCAAGAAATTTGGAAGACAACTATCTGGCTGACTGATTGGAAGAGATCTGTATTTGTGCCCATTCCAAAGAGAGGTGACCCAATGGAATGCTGAAATCATGGGCTGCCAGAAGAACCAATAGATCCGTTTTGGAAGAAGTGCAGCCAGAGTGCTCCTTAGAAGCCAAGATGGCCAAAGTTCGTCTCTCATACTTTAGACATATTGTCATGAGGGACAAGTCACTGGTAAAGGATATCATGTTTGTTAAAGTGAAGGGTCAGAGAAAAAGAGGATGACCCACAGTGGGATTGATTGGCCAACTGACAGCATCGATGGACTCAAGCTTGGCCATCGATAGCCCAGGATAACGCAGTGTTTTGCTCTGCTGTGCATAGGTAGCTATGAGTCGGTACCAACTCGATGGCACCAAATAACAACAACAGCTATACCAATGAAGCCCAGATCTAATGTCTTTGTGTGACCCTGTAGGATAAGCACTGGACTATTAACCATAACTTTTGTGGTTCAAACCCACCAACTTTTCTTTAAAAACCTTATACAGGGTCAGCATAAGTTGGCACTGACTTAACAACACTTAATAACAACAATCCAAGCTCTGGTGTGGCACTGTAGGATAAGCACTGGACTGGTAGTGGAAAGGTCATCAGTTCCAACTCACCAGCCTCTCTCAGAAACCCTATACAGAGTCACTAAGAGTTGAAACTGACTAAATCTATCTCTTTCTGCAATTTTATTTAATTATTTACAAAAGAAACTGAACTAAAACAAATAAATTTTTGCGGTTTTAGTTAATTAGTCCCATGTGGGTCCTTTATAGCTTGTTTTGTGTGTGGGGGGGGTGTTTTGTTTGTTGGGAACATATATAGCAAAAGTGTGTAGGAAAATTGCATTATCTTTTCATTTCATGTTGAGCCCCTCTGTATATCAGTTCACCAATTTCTACATGTACCATTTAGTGACACTGACTATACCTTTTCAGTTCTGGGAGTATTATTATTATCATTTGGTAAGGAACAGTAACATCTCAAATTAGCATAAAACCAAACCCAAACCCACTCTCATGAAATCCCTAAGCCTCTGGTGAGTCTGAACCACTAACATTATGATTAGCAGTCCAATGTTTATACCACAGCACCACCAGAATTTCTGAAAACAACTAGAAACTTAGTAAAACTTCATTTGACAGCAGAGTCAATGTAAATGTCCAGGAAAATGAAAGAAGGAAATATGTAACTAGTCTTTTCTTGCTCATGAAACTAAAATTAGGATCTTGACTCCTTCGTTCTTTTCTCTTTCTCTCCTTCTATAGGCTCATGCTACTTGTCTTTACAGTTTGGCTTTTTCCTGTCCTGGTTTGACACTTTAAGTTAAGCACTGCACTGCTAATTGCAAGGTCAGGCAGTGGTACAAATGCACCAGCTGCTCCTCATAAACTCTATATAGTGTTGCTATGAGTCAGAAATGACTCAAGCACAGTTAACCACAACATCAACTCTCATTTTGAATGAAATCTCTTTGATTTAATGTAAAGTATGTGAAACTATTTCCTGAATTCATACTAAACATCATCAACCCAGACAGCAACTAAGCGGTTTTTGTTAGTTTGTTTTCTGAATTAACACTTCCTGAGGATGGATTCTGATTTGCTTTGCTTTAGTCAGATGCACTATTTCCGACAAAAAGCTGCATTCATATTTGGTACTATGAAGCTTTCAAAGTTATATTCACAGATTCTGTATGTTGACTCCCTATGTTCAAATCTTGGCTTCATTTATGAGATTTTGGGCAATTTTTTTATCTGTGAAACTGAACAATTCACCCACTATCATTGTATCTCAATTTCTTCATTTACAAGATTGAAACACACATTAATATTGATTTTGTCGTTTTGAACATTTATCAATTCTAAGTGATAGGCATATATATTGCAAAGACTTCTCGGGTTTTTAAAAGAGCATATTGCATCTATGAGTACTGCTACAAGGGTTTCAATTCATTTATGTACATATTTATTCCAAAGAAAACATGTTTAAACATGTCTAATCAGTGGATGTCTGCAGATAAGTTATCTCAGTAGTATATTTCTCTCAGTGTTGCTAGGACGCCTTCAAAAAAAAAAAAAAAAAAAGGTCCAATCAATGCAGTGGCTTTGCAGGGGATCTGCTGGACCACTTCAAGTCATGGCTGAGACAAGTTTCTGATGACTGCATTTTGGGATATTAAAGGGACTATTTAAATCCCAGAGCTCTCCCACAAAACTATGCTGTAGTTGGAATTTTGCCTATCACATTTGCCACATTTTGGTTTCCTCATTTCTCCATTTTATCCCTTATTTCCTTATCTAAAATAAATCATTTAAACAATCTCTTGTACTTGATGTCTTCGCTCAGTGTCTGCTTTAGAAAACGAGACCTAAGACATGGATTTCACATGGAATCCACATATTCAGAAAGTAGATCCTCAGAACTATGTATTGTTGGCAGAGGTTGACAGAAAAGTCAAAATAAAGTATAAGTCTTAGATTAATAGTGTTTTATGTGGATGGTTGAGGTTCATTTATAAAATATCAAGGATGAAAGGGATCAATTGGAAAAATAAAAATTAATTTCCTTCTTACTGTATGTCATAAGGAATAATTGCTTCTTATAATGCTACTACCAGTAACAGTTTGGCTTAATTATTAATAAGGAGCATTATCAGAGGTGTATAATATCCCTAATGATATATTAATTGATTCATATATTCATAACAATCATTTAAGATAGATTCTTCTATAATTTCTAAGATTATTAATATGAGGAAACTAAAGCACAGGGAAGTTAATAATTCCCTGAGGCTACATATCAAGTAAGCAGAAACCCAGGATTTAAATCCAGTTATTTCTATGTTCTTAGTTTCTACTATGACTGAATATAGCCTTCTGATACCTTTGACGCTAATAGACAATACTTATTGTGTTACTTACTTTCAGTGTTCTAGGTACTGTGGTAAGTTTTTATTTAACTACACATTCTTTTTAAAAACATTTTTCATAGTAATATTTTAAAAAGGTGTGGCTCCATTCATGGAGGGGAAAACTGAAGCTATGGTTAATGAAATAACCTGTTAATA